AAAAAAAAAAAAGAACTATGTTGGGATGGTAAAAGTTAGTGATAAGAATCTATTTAGTTATTAGGGAGGGTTTCTAGATGCAAATTTCTATGTCTAAAACTAAGTGCTTAAATCAGTATATCTTAATAATATTTAGCAGTATGTAAATTATTACAGAAGAATTCTGCATTTCAGTGCTGAATGCACCAGTGCTTACCATTTGCTGAAGGATTAATTTGTCAAGCAATGTGTATTGAAGGTCTCTAGGTTAGTTTCTCAAAGCTCAGCCTATGGGGCCAAATTGTCCTCTTGACACCTGTTTGTATAAATAAAGTTTTATTGGAATATAGCCATACCCATTCATTTAGGCATTATTTATAACTGCTTTTGTACTATAACAGCATAGTGGTTAGACATAGAGACCACATGGCCTGCAAAGCCTAAAATTTGTACTGTTGGGCCCTTTACAAAAAAGTTTGCTGGCCCATAGTCTAGTATATATTAATAACTCCACTCCCAGAATCCCACACAGGTAAACCCAGTGATCTGGGAAGGATGTTTATTGAAGAGTTGTTTGTTGTGGTGCCAATGAGTTTGGGACCATGATTGTCCATGACTAGGAGAAGGGATCTATAAAGAGTAGCGCATGCACTTTACTCCTGCCTGGATGAGGAGTTGGCAAACGTTTTCTGTCAAATGCCAGCTAGGGCTGAGCTGGGCACACCATGTTGGATATAGAAGAGGGAGAGGAGGCATGGTTCTGGAACCTCATTGACTGTGATCTTGTTGAGAGATGTTGGTCAAATGCAAAACCAGGGAACACTACAAGATAGCAGAAGTGTCATGTTGTATATCATTTACCATTAAGCATTCTGAAGTCTTGGAAGGGAGAGGTTAGCTTGGAAGTACTTGATGGAGAAGTCAGTAAGCCTGCGTGGAGGAGGCTTGACCTTGAAGGATTTGTGAGAGGAAAGAACATTCTTTGTTGGGGAAACAGCATGCCCTCATATCTATGAGTACAGGCTAGGAACTGTGATGTTCCGGACAGTTGCTAGATGCAACTCAGCCAGTGAAGAGGCTCTGAGCTTGGTATGTGGGGACCTGGTCAGAAAAGTAGAGCATGAAGACCACGATGTGATGTGGGAGAAAGTAATGACTAAATCTGATGAGATCCAGTTCGGAAGGGTCAAAGATTAAGTAAATAAATCTGTACTCTCTTACAGTAGCAAGACCCTTTATTTTGGAGATAAGGTTAAGCTGAAGTTTGAGGAAGATTAATCAAGGCAGTAGTTAAAGAAAGCTTTCCCCCAAGAGCGAGACCCCGTCTCTACTAAAAAATAGAAAGAAATGATCTGGACAACTAAAAATATTA